TGACAAATAAACAGTTTTAGGAGCCTATTTCCTATCAGTGATGCAGGAAGCATATTTTTCTTCAGAATGTGTACAGAACTCAACACAGAAGGGTCCTGCTCTATAAATAAGGCTTTTCTGGCATCATTGCAACAGAAATTGCTATTAGGTGTTGTTTATTTTTAACAATTTATGCATAAGATGTCACAAATATGAACCACAGAGGGAAAAATTTGAGAGAGAAATTAACTGCAGAGTGGCACTGGGGAAGGCTTCAGAGTCATACAGTGCCACAGTGCCATTTCTGAGCTGGACCTCCAAACATATGAGAGCTTCCCAAAAAAAACAGTAACAGGCACTAGTTATCATGGAATGGCCCAGTGGGACCAAAAAATGATGAAGGTTCAGCAGGAGTCAAGCTTTAAACCACAAGCTGTGAGGAGGGCAGTCAGACTGCTTTGCTACCCTCTATCAACTTCATGCAGGGAAGTATTCTCCAGGGAACTCTGAACTCCTGCATCCCCCTCCTCACCCCCCCCCCCCCCCCCCCTCTCTTTGTCTGGAGCTTGATAGGGAATTGGCATTGACTTTAATGAAGACATATTGCTTTGACATGTCTGTTAGAGCTCATTGTTTTGCACTATCATTAGTTGTTTCAAATCAAGCCAGACCAGTTTGCAACGTAAAAGCTCCTGTAAAAAGGAAAACTTTCCTTCCACTAATATATGTAAATTCCAGCAATATTTGCCAATTAACCACTGCAGTACTGCGCATACTTCTGTACTTAAATGAAGAGATGGTTTACTACCTTTCTGTAAATGCAGAACAATAAGCCATGAGGCAAGGCTGATATAAATTGAGATGGCTTATAGGCAGTGATTCAAATTTGAGTAGAATATGTGATGTTTCATATCCTTAGCCTAAACACTCTATATTTTGTATAAACACATGAGTAGTTATCAAGATCACAAATACAAAGATGTAGAAATCTGTTTTTTAGTACAGGCTGCTTAGAAGGGCCAATTGTAGAGAAAATCCTTACTGTGTTTACATTTCATTTGAAAATACTCCAATTACCAGTATGCTGCAGACATCAACATTTTGCCTCTAACAAAAGGTACTGGGATCAGATCACAACTGTGTACCTCACAGCCTCAACCAGCATTAACAGTAGTAATTCCAGTAACTGCAGAATGAATTAAATAACAAAATATTATTTCCAGACTCTTCAGCAAATCTAAAAGTGAAATAACTAGAAGTCCCAGTATCCAACCTACATGTGTGCATAGTTTCACTGAACTCAGAGTAAATATTTACCTGAATAGGACACATAGCACTTTGAGTCAATCAGAGAAAAAATGTATTTTTAAACAGTCTACTACACTGCTTTCTGAAAAACATTTATAGACATATTTTTCAGAACTACTGTGTATAATTCCAATGGATATTTCAAACATATGGCCAAAAAAATAGATTGGTTAATTACCTCTGATTTTCTTATTTTATTGAGATGAGGTACAGCAGTGAGGTTTTCTCTCATCAGCAATAAGTAGTAGCACAAATTGTTATGAAATATGAAGAAATAGCATTATTATTTGTATATGGAATCTAAAAACCACCGCACTATGACCTTAATTGTAATTGGCTTTTTCTTGAAAACAGTAGCTAAACCTCACCACTGACAGAAAACCCTTTGATTAATCCTAGTCAGTTCTTAACTACTCAGTAAGCAATGTGTTAGCTAGTAACTCAGCCACATACTTTTCCTCCCACTGTGTGGAGCAAGATAAAGAACCATAGAATATCCAAGTTGGACTCATGATCCTTGTGGGTCCCATCCAACTCCTGGCAATACACGGGACCACCCAAAAATCAAATCCTGCGTCTGAGAGCATTGTCCAAATGCTTCTTGAAATCCAGCAGGCTCGGTGCCATGACCACTGCCCTGGGCAGCCTGTCCCAGTGCCCAACCACTCTCTGGGTGCAGACCCTTTCCCTAACCCCCAGCCTGACCCTCCCCTGTCCCAGCTCCATGCCGTGCCCTCAGATCCTGTCGCTGTCCGCAGAGAGCAGAGCTCAGTGCCTGCCCCTCCGCTCCCCTCATGAGGGACCTGCAGGCCACCATGAAGTCTCCCCTCTGCTCTGTGCTGAGCAAACCAAGGGACCTCAGCTGCTCCTCATACATCTTCCCCTCTAGACCTTTGCCAGCTGTGCAGCCTGCCTTTGGAAGTTCTCTGATAGTTTTATATGCTCTCAAATAGTTTTATTTGACCATCCCTGGTCAAATTCATTTGATCTAAAGGAAGCTCACTTTGTTTCCCAGAGGTTAAAAGTCAGAATTCAAAAGAAAATCACAAACATGTCTTTCCTTGTAAGTGTCCATTAAGCACCCATACACTCACACCAGGTACCAATGCCTTTTTTAGCTCCCAAGAGAGCCACCACAATTGTCACATCTGGTCAAATTATTGTATTAGCTTCGCTTGTATAAGCAAAGCAACTCAAAACACTGTGTCTAGTAGCCATCCACACATTCTTTTTTCTCTGTTCTACCTGATACTTCTAATTCACATTGCAGGTACTTTACAATGGATAGTCTACTTTTCTGTTTTGACAGCAAGCTCATTGTTATATAAATGCATATTAGCATTCTGCTACAAATATTCTTGCTTTATTCTGATGAGAATTTTACTATCTTATTCACTAACTTTTACAAAAAGTAAACAGATCCATACAAATCAGATTTGTAGTTATGCAGATGTAATTAAAACTCTCAAGAGAACATGTAAAATAAAAAAGACAAGCTTTTACTGTTAAAATTATTCTTAGCCAAAGACAGTAATCACCATTTCATTACTGTAAATGGAAAGGTGACAGGACATTTAACATCTGCATACTTATTTTCATAGGTCCCATTCTTTTAGAGGAATTTAGAGTCATTTGGGGGGAACAAAATGGAAGGAAGGAAGCAAGTAAGCAAGGAAGACGGGCAAGCAGGTAGGCAGGCAACAGTAAGAGTAAAATGAGATAGAAAAAGAAATAATTTAAAAATTTGAATCCTTTTTCTCCCTCCATGCTCAGAATAAATAGTCACAAGGCAAGGGTACTTCTCTATTTAACCTTCCATGGATCAGTAACATGGCCATAAAAGACGCAATGATCACCCAAAAAGCTCAATATGGTAATTACTAGATCTCTCTACCACTCTGCCCACACATATATACACAGACACTTATAGTCCCATTCCTGAATAAGCAGTCTGATCGTATGGGATGCTCTGTATTCGCACAGGAGATAGCTGCATCAAATCCATATTAAGCAATTCGAAACATTCAGCCAGTTGCAGTGTCTCTCCAAGGCAATTTAGCAAGGTTGTACTCTATTAATAACTTATCTTCAGAAATAATGACGTTTGTATTATAAAATTGAGAAAGAGAGGACACTTTACAGATAAGTGCCATTTATTCAAAATGCTTTCATATTAGAAATCATTTTATGGGTGCCCTTTAGACATAAGCACATCTTTATGTTTCAGCAGTTATTCATCATTTATACATTCATAATTTGAGAGAGTTTTGAATTTAAAATAAATAAGAAGCCCACGCCCTGCCTCAAATAAGCAAACCAGTCTTGATAACACCTCATACCTAAGAGACACTAAATAAATTAAATAATGAGTGGGGAAGCATAAACCTTTCCTACTCTGTGAACATAGCAAAAAGTAGCAATAGTCTCCCAAATCTAGGATATAAGACAGAAATCTGTCTCGCAGTCACAAAATCTCCTGTTACCATAGTGATGGGGACTGAGCAAATGACTAAAAATACCTGGTCTTATTCACACTGTCTTAGGAATGTGACCTAAATGACATGTAATACATGATTTTCCATGATAAATTAATTGCATTTGCTAGGAGCCAACACTGAGAAGCAGCCTAACGTGCAAGTATGATATGTGGTCAGACACTCAGAGAGACCGCCTTCCTCTCAAAGATGCAGCTTTAACAGAGAGCTGGCTGGAAGACAACAAAAAAAATAGAAAGAACCCGCATGCAGGTCATTAACAAAACAAAAGCACCAATTAAACATGGTTCTCTCTCACTAAAGGACGTTGTACTTTAAAATTATTCTTTCCAAATGCTGGTACATGAAATTAAATGTAGTCTCCAAAGAAGATCACCATCTGCAAGAAGCTGCAGTTGGGATGGATGTTAAACTTAAGAAGACACAGAGGTAATATTAATCTATGCTTAGGCCAGCTTTGGTTCACAGCATCTATGTATGTCAGTACAAAACAAAAGTGTGCTACTGTTGAGAAGAAATGGGAAATGGCATCTCCCACCCCACCCTGTGAGGTGTCCAGTGAGGCTGCCTACATAAGTCTCACCCAGAAGCAGCCATTGCTGCTCTGCTGTAAGAGCAGAGCATTGCAGACACTCCCACTGACTGCCCTGGGAATGAGAAAAGCCAGAAGGAAGATGAGTCTAGGTTTTTTTGAAGGGCTTAACTGATTACAATTTTATTTCTATTTTTAAAGAGCAATGTTTTCTCTCCTATTTACAGTACAGGATACCTTGATTCATGATGTCTTGTTCTATTTACATTCAACTATGAATGTATTCCTTTGAGAATGTTTTTAAAAGTCAGTTGGGCTGAGATGGAAGGCTAACACCACTGACATTACAAAGTGTGGAATAAGGCTAATATTTTGACTGGAGACACCTGCAAGTGGAAACCTGCTACAAAATTGATCTATGGCCTCTTACTATATTTCAAAACAGTATGGGACTGTAGTCCAGCATTGTTAGACACAGTGCAACTCTACAAAATCTACTTTATTTCAAGTATAAAGATAAAATAGTCCATTTTGGAAAAGAACATCAACATCAGGTAAGGTTTGTCTTGACTGTGCATTTAAGAGTAGTAGCTTCTTTATACAGTGTAAACAAACAACCCAAAGCCTATGACATCTGCAGTAGAATTTTTTGTACCATTGCAAAGCATTTTTAAGAATCAGCTTACCTGGAGAGACCAGCTGGAAGACCTGGTGTATTCCACTGGCAGGTATAAAATATCCACAGTCTCTAAAAAATTCAGACAACTGCTTTCTGTCCATCTTTTTGTCAAGCTCTCTCTTGAAAAACATCGCTTCATAAACTGAAGAAGAGAAGCTTCCATCAGATACACATTTACAGTATGTTACTGGATACTGATTTTTCTAGAAACATTTTCTTTAGAATCAAGTTAATATTCTTGATAAATTATGTACGGAAACGTAGGCCAATAGTAGTTAATAGTACTCTTCTTGACTTGGCAGATGTGCTCAAAACATTGTCCCGAGCAATATCGTAATAGAAGTTTCTATAGATGCCTTACCAAAGCTAATTAGAAAACAACAAGGACATATATTAGGGGGCTAACAGTCAATTATTTTCTTGACAAATTGTGTATATTAAATAATATAGCTCCAGTTAAAGACATTATGTGGTTTCTTTTGCATTGTTCAGGGAGGGAAAAGTACAGATTAAAAATGAAAATCTTTGGTCTTCTTTACTCTAATGTCCACAGAACACTCCAGTTGATCTACCTAGCTTACAGATTTTTTTCAGAATTGGTGCCAGAAATCTTCCTACCTGAGAGACAGTGTAGCTAATTTATTATTTATCACCAGAACCACTAGTTTTCCTGCAAGGGTTAACAGCAATAAATCAAATTACACTCTTTGTTATGCATGAACATCTAGAACATGTCTGTTTCTGTCTTCATCATAGAAGAGCAAATTAATGTCAATTTAACATTTCAGAAAAACAGCATATGCTTTTTAACTCAGACTTTTCACCCTGATTTTTGAAGGCATAAAGACAAAACAACAACACAGGACAATACACTGGGTTGCAACACCCTATCACATCTGCAAACAAAGAAGCTTTGAAAGTATAAGTTGAAGTCTTTCTACTGAAAGCATCAGTGACTCAACCATTGACCAGCATTTCATCACAATATGAAGAGTAGTACAAACTTTTCAGTCACCAGACATTAATGTTAGGAGCTATTCAGCCTAGGAAAAGGATGCACTTTTTCAGGAGGATATAGGTTATGTTTTATAAGTTAAATAATTTTATTGATATAGTTTTTGTAATGTACAGGGAAAAAAAACTATATATATATACACACATATATAGTTTGTGTGTGTGTATATACACACACACATACATATATGTACAGATATACATGTACATATACACACACATATGTATTTCCTATGTGGTGATAGGAATATAAGACCTGATTACAGAATTTCAGAAGTCAAAACTGAGACTATATCATGAATCTTTGGAAGATTCAAAGACACATTCAGTACATGATTTGCATCAATAAAGCATTTACAGGGAACTCAAAACCTATCCATGGAATATTTTTAAATTAAGTATTAAAATCCTCCTCCTTTAGACCAAAGCATAAAACTTTATGGATGCAGAATTAAAGGACTGAACGGAAATGGGAAACAAGATATAAACAACTAATACATAGCATGTTCAAAAGGTGCAAGAATCAATTAGAACTTGCTTGCAGTGTTTAATGGGTGGTATATTTTCATTTCTCTGGAATGCTAATGCCTATTTAAAGGAGAAAAAATAAAGCAGCACATTCCTAAATCTTAGGTAGGAAGATGGTCATCTAAGTCCAACATATAGTATTGCATTTTTGATGCACAGTTGAAAACTCAACCTAATTCTCTTTTTCTCAGCTTTTTCCCCACCAGGAAAGCTATTTTCCACAGTATGTACTCATCTAATCTTAAATATCCTCTATGACGAGGCAGCTACCTCTTACTCTGGAAGAGGAATTTGAAGGGCAATGGATTACATAAAAAGGAAGATTAGATTATATTTTGCAGTTTAAACTGCTTTTTCTTTTCCTTAGTATCTTCCTATAATCCTTAGGGAATAAGAACTACATGAATAGTAATATTCAAAAGGATGCAGAAAGCAGTCAGCGAGCATCTGCAGCTAAGGAACAGGCAGCTTTGGTATTAGTCAACTGTTTCCTTTTCTTGCAACACTTACTCTGCTTACTTATCAGAAGAACCATTGGGAGAAGCAGCTCTCCTGTCTGTGCCTTCTTGATTATGACTTCAAGCTAGTGACATTTATGCTTCTCCTGACCATTGCAGTTCATCCTATTGTAAGAGCATGTCTGAGTTTTCCACCATGCAGCTGAACCACACTGAACCATGTGATAGAGAGCCCCAAACCATGCTCTCTACCACACTTGCTTGACTGTACAGTCAGCCATCAAAAAGAGGAAACAAAAGCAAGTGTAAAAACTAGTTTCATGAATAAAATTTCTAATACATGAATCACTCACAAAATCTGCAAAGGGATCTTCTTTTAAGAGGCTTTCTAAACATACAAATGACTTATTTCTTTGTGGGAGATATGAGCGCTATCCATTTTTTTTTTTTTTTTGGGGGGGGGGGAGGGATTGTTTAAAAAAAGGACAATAATACTAGATAAAAAAAATCACTGCCAGAATGACTGAAAAGGGTAAAGTGTTAAGGTAATTACGATGATACTTAGTTTTGCACTTCCTTATCTACCATTTCATTAGATTCCTCCTTCCTGACTTTTCATGACACTTAACAATTAATAGTCAAGCACCCACAACATGATGACACAATCACAATGTGCAGCACACAAGAGTTAAAATAGTTAATGATAACAGTTAATAATTGCTTTCTTTATCAAGTGACCAGAAGAATCTTTTTATTCATGCTAAATCCGACAATTGGTACAACACTGTAGAACTGCAGTTGTACATATGGCGACATCAAATCTGCCTTGCACCAAAAGTCATTTTAAAATAACTGTGTTGCAGACTTGGAATATTACTTAGTAGACAAACCACTGAAATTAAAACAGAAGAAATTGCGTACAAAAATGGCATGACTTACATTTTTTCTTGTCCATCCACTCCTCTAATTCAAAATAATGAAGTGGTGTAGACAGATCCAAAACACCAGCTCGATGTTTAATGCGTGTCATCATTTTACGATAGTACCTTACAACTGCTAGTAAGGATGGTCCATGACTTGCTGACTGTAATTACAGATATATTTCACTTTTATTACTGTAAGAAACAAGTGAAAGGTGACTAAAAAACAGATGAGGAGTTAGAACCAAAAGGTATTCAGTGTATGAGAAAATCTTAAATAAAAGCAAGAATAAATTGCATCACTGTAAACGTAAGTGGACAGATATGTAAAAACAACTGCTCCATAGTTTTGATAAGGGATGATTCTTTCCAGAGATGACTAGATAAAACTATTGGATAGAACTATTTTTAGATAAACACATTTTATTCCAAATTACAGAAGTAGATCACAAATTGTATGAAATGGAAAATACTATCTGCACACAATCAGAATCTGGGAGGAAAGACAAGATTTTGTATCTCAGTAGAGGAAAAGTGGAACAGTGAAACTTGGCAAGGTGAGAAACTTTGTGTTCAACATCCATTTTTTGATTAAAAGTATGTCATGGGAGGAAAATTATATATTTGTTTCCTACAGCCCGGGAGTAGATATCAAGAAATGCAGTTTCACCTCATCATTAATCTCCCTCTCTTCCAATATATAAAGTGAAGGAATATTTTTAAAGGTTGATGATTACCAAATAATATGACCTGATTTTTACTACCCTATTTTAGGATTCTGGAAAACTAATAAAATAGATAGTTTAATGGATGACTCAGTTCCTACTTGACCCACTTATTTGAATTAGTTACAAGTTTTCTTAGGGTTTACTCCTTAGATAGAAGGCTTAGAAATCACTAAAAAAATGATATCTTAACTGAAGTTATGCAGCCTCCATTAGCAGCCAGCCTTCAATATGCATAAGCTCTTTTAAGTTGGTATAAACTCCGAGATTGAAAGCAGAAGTGCGTATTATGGCATTTTGGTATACCATTTCTCAGAAACTGGCATTTCATTTAGCAACATGAGATGACAAATATGAAAAACAGTATTTATACTATAGAATCCATGTTGTGTTTTTTTGTTTTGTTTTGTTTTGTTTTGTTTTTCTTCAGTAATTTAAGCTTAAAAGAGAGTGGGAGAAGGGTGCAATAAGCAGTCTGTTAGCTAAAGCATGTTTCTCTACCTTGTCTGCAGGCCACAGAATTAACAATACAATATGCATATATGCCAAGACTATTAGAAGGTAAAGGGATCACACATCACAAAGGACATTCTTTTCTAAAAATGAGAGCCTTCCTAAAATTAAGTGACGGAAACAGGTCCCAGCAGAGCAGTATCGTTGAATTGTCTCTGACCTTGAAGGTGCACTACAGAGATGGCATACGGACTAGCTCAGCATGTGTTTTGTTTTGTTTTGTTTTCCACAGCTAAATATTAATAATCAAGAAATCTTACACTACTAAAATGCAAGTGGTATGTGGATTAAACAACCAAGACATTACCTTAATTTTTACCCTCTTGAATGCCCTGCGTACAAGCCACCCTCTCACATATCTCTGAATGCAAATGACTGCTTTAAGTACTTCTCTGCTGCCAGGATCCTTTGTACAATCACAAAAAGCTCCAAAGTCTTCCAGGTGAGTTACATTTTTCTTTTCCTTCTTCTGGGTTTGAAGAGAAAGGCGTTTGTCACTAGAAATTAAAGTAAAGAAGATTTGTTTTTCAGTTTCATAGAAAAATGCTTGAACTATGAATCAAAATGTTAGTAGACAAACTGTAATTTTCACCTAAAATAAGTACAGAATCATGTAGAATCATTTCACTTACAGGAACAGCTTGAAAAGATTGGAAAGGAACTGTTGGTCATTTACTAACTACATTTACAGAATTAGCATCCAAATCTGCTTGACAAATGTTTTGTACAGATGTGTAGATCTCCACAATTCCCATGACTTTCTAAACTATAAGGATTAAGCTATTATTTTAAACATTCTTAATATTTTGAATTCCCAACCAACCATATAGCTTTTTTTTTTTTTTCTGTTACTTTGACTTTTACAGAAAGGAGGATGTAAAAAGTCATACCGACTGTGAAAAACATTTTTTTAAGTAATGAATTTGTCAGACTAAAAAATGACTTATGTTATATGTATACATGTTTCTTACCATTGAGATAATATCTAGTAGACAGGCACACTGAAACCTTTAATGTGTCTTCTATATTAATTTCCAATTAAAAACAAACAAAAAATAAATTTTACAAGAACGGATAAATGTGTTTAAGTCAATCCTTTTTAAAAGAACATACCTAGACAGGCTGTATTGGAGATTTTCCATTCAAAACAGGAGAGCAGAAACAGCAGAAAAGCCAAGATATCCAATAATATGAATTGTAGAGGTATTTACTACAGTAACATTAATAATTTTAAAACAATAAAATCTCTCAATTTTGTCTTGATAAAGAATAAGGAATTCTCCAATGTCTCACCTCTACAGCTCTCCTACTGGACTATGGCCAACAGAGGAATGGTCAAAACAATTCGTGGTGGTTAATCAAGTCATTAGATTTTACATTCCAAGCTGTGTAACTGGCAGAAATGTAAACTAAAATATAGCTGAAGAATTTATTATATACCACATCTAGAGTTTTTTTTTTTTTTTTTTTTTTCTGAAGGTGCAATTATGAATAGAAGTAGTCATTTTATAGTTAAGGTCATAAGTAGCTATGTGCTGTAGAGTCAGTTGCAATTTTACTTACTACATCCAGATTGTGCTAAGACTAAACCAATCTGCTTCAAATATCATTTGAGAGAAAAACGTTTTTTGATGTCTGGTCTTAATTAAGCAAGGTGCTAGTCAGATAAAAATGCGTGAGAAATGGAGATCAGAGCATTTCTCAAAAAACTTGTATTTTCCTTTTTTTTTTTTTTTTTCCTTTTGTCTTGGTTTCATTATTTTGAGGTTATAATCAGTTGTTTTGGAACTTACAATGAATTCTAAACTGGTTATTTTCTGGTATTCTGTAGTATTTTCTCCTTCTAGCCAAGAGCCTGCAGGATTTCTCATCAGACCATCTTCTTATAATTAAAAAATATCATTTGCACTTATTCATCATTCCAGATTGTGCCACAAAGAGAAATCTGTCCCATCGATCTTGATCTCTCTACTGGCTAAAAAAAACTTTCAGGTATTTCACATGACTTCTCAGTTTGGGACCACAATCTCACCTCTCGATTATAACATTATACAACTTCCAAATCTTCTGCACTAAAGAAAGAATTCACCCCTCTACTGGCTTAATTCAGCTCAATTCCAGCAAAGGTTATTCATTCATTATTCTCCTCGGAGATTCTATCAGAGAACAGCATTTTAATTTGCTGTTACGGTTTCAAAGAAATTACAGTTTCCTTAGTTGCACCAGGGATGCCTTGAGTGAACTTGTCTCCAGAGCCATTTCTAGACAGGTCTAGCCAGTTTGCAGGTGATGACTATCTACTCTGAAACACCTGAATATGCTGAGCATGAGGCTACCCAAAGGTTACAGTACTGGGCTGATGAGATCCACTGTCTTCAAAGACCACAGAATATCATTATGTTGGATGGACAAGAAGAGAACTACCTGACTTATGAGAAACATGGGCATATAGAATGTACACACTACTTCTATTGTTCCTTTTTTCCAAAAATTGAGAAAAAGATTATCAGAGGCAATTATGAAAGTGAGACAGCAGGTCCCTTTGTGTTACCTTACAGGAAGAAAGATTTGAAAAGTTTTCTTAACATTGTCTTCAAATTTGTTAGTATTCTAGATATAGTTTGACTTTCCAAGGAAGACCCCCAAATCACTGCATCAGTTGAGATGGAGAGGTAGGTTGTTTGTGAAAGACAAGGCACTCGGGTGAAAGGAAAATTTTCCTAAAACCAGCAAGTTTTGAATTACTTCTTTTTTATGAAAACATGTTTCAGAACAATACTGAGTTTGCAACCACTTACATTCTTTTTTAGAGCCACGATAACAAAAATTATACGGAAGATATGGACAAGTGCTTCTTTGAAATATTGAGTGTACAATCAAATTCTCACTTAGGTACAGCAGCTGTCTGCACTACAGATGTCTTTGTAAAATCAAATTCATGCCATAGATCTGATGGCAATGCATTGAATGGCTCTTCCTACTGAATTATGCATGTGGCAATTTTTCTATAATCTCGCAATTTAATTTCATGCAATTTACATATGCTGATTAATACTGCAGTGTAAAGATATATTTAATATGATCTGGCACTGGTGGATAAATAATGTCTTATATCAGTACTTTGGGCTGTTCTTAAAGATTAACTTCTTTTAATGTTGTGTTCAAGTGTCCTTTTTCTAATATACCACAAAAAAAAAACACGTACTAAACTACCTCTTGCTTAATGTGATTTCTATCAGTTGCACTACCTTTAAACAAGATGTTTTAACAGAAGAAAATAGCTAGACAGAAAAAAGTGTGTGGTGTTTTTTTTTTTTTGAGTATTTAGAACATAACAGAGCAGAACAAATACCAGACATAATGTTTGAAATGGAATTTCTATCAAACCATCAGTTTATTTGCATTAATATATATTCCATCACTTATAAATTGCATTTCAGATATTGTTACTAATTAGTTTTGGCTGATATTGGAGTATTTTGTATGCCCCATTTATAAAAGCTGTTTGCCCATCTGTTAATAGGTTGGAAGTGATTAAAGGACACTTATTTTGGCTGTTGCAAAGGCCAAATCATATTAAAGCTGCAAATATGTGACAAAATCAGCTAAAGGTTTGCCAAGTTCAGGACCTGATTTTCCTAAAGACTTGTGGTGTCTGCTTCCTTTCCTTCCTGCATAAAACATCTATGCATTTTCAGTATATAAAAGCAAAAAAATCAGCCTAGTAACGATAGGCCACACCTGTTATCTATTTATTTAAACAGAGGTTTTAATAAACTTTAAATGTTCGTAGAGGTTGTTTGTTTGTTGTTGTTTTTTAATCTGTGGCTAAAAACAATAAAAAAGAACATTTCTGCTGTTTGTATATTAACCCTGAAGCATTGCTTCTGAGATTTTAAATAAAATGTGTCTTACAAGAGTACTCAGTATCATAATATTTTAATATCTATGCCTTCTCTTCTTGCCTATTGTTTCATCAGTTTGCATAAAAGAGCAGAAGAAGAAGAAATACGTCAATATGGGAAATATCAGGAGGAAAAAGAGAAGAAAAAAAGAAGGTAAAGTATTGGATGAGAAGTACTGTCATGGAGAGTGAGCTGGAAATAACAGAAAACCAAAAACTCTAACAGCAAGAGATTTGTGTGTGCCATTATTGTGAGATAACTCAAGCCTTCAGTTCAATCTAGGGAATAATATTTCGATCATATATTTAACTTAAATGAAGGTCTGAATAAGCCTCGTACAAAGAGCTGGAATGACTCCTGTATACTATTTACATCCTACAGCCTACCTGAAGGTAAATCTCACGTCTTATATTATATCCTGCCCTTTCTCCACATAATAACTCAATGCTTTACCGTGTTAGGGTAGAACCCAAGCTGACCCTTATTGCAGAAGAAATGTAGCAATGGAGATGTGAAAAAAGTTTTCAACCAGATATTCTAACACTGCTTGGTCTGAAACCCCCTGAATAACCTTTTCCTTAATTGGATTTCAAATGTAATATCAAAGGGAAAAGACTAGTAACTAACCCTAGACTTCTTTGCTTCATCTGCAAATTTAATTTTATAAATGAGCAACATAAAATGCTACCGACATACATTAAAGACATACCACCTGCTTTGTACCTCTCTAATGGAAAATCTGTCAAGCACTTTCTTTAATGATTATATGTCTTAAAATTCAACAAATTAAAGGATTATCACTGAAATCATATTAATCTGCAAAGGATTAACAGCCTACTGTTGAAAGACTTCATGAACTGCAATAGGAGAGGATCTGAAATAAAAAATGCAAAGAGCTTTTCACATAAATAGTGCAGAAGGACTGTAGACGTTGAAGCAGCAAAAGCAAAAAGGGATTGAAACAAAGACTGGTGATGTGAATCAAGCACTTCAGCATCGAAAATAAAACAAAATTTTAAGAAACGTGCTATAAACTGTAACATCCTCAACACCTGTATACAGTTTACTCATTTTCTTTGTTTCTGCAACCAGTTGTCCTCTCATTCTCATTTGTAATTTCAAACACATTTAGATACATTATCTGAAATGTTTTTCAAGAATGAAACAAAACATTATTGAACATTCAGAACCTAATGAAACATTGAGAATGGAATCTTGATTTCTTCCTGATAGTATTCTTTAATGGATAGGAAGAGTTTATAAAATATTTTATCTTCAACAGCTTTTACAATTTTGAGGCACAAATAAATTGTTCTCTGTTATATTTTCCCTGCCTTTAGGACAGTAATGAAATCATGGCCAGGCATTTCTTGTTACTTAATGGCCGACAGAATTCATCTCATTGAACCAATTTCAGCAGTTATACATATTCATGAAACACTTAAGGATGTGTTTGATTTTAGCTTTAGTGGGACTTAAGGATATGCCTAAAGTTAGGCACGTACTTAAAATGCTATGCTGAATTGGGATGGAGGCAACTGCATGCTCACCTGAGCTAAAGTCAAAATTAAGCATATGTTTAAGTGTTTCACTGAATACAGATTGAGTGCTGAACTGGAGCCCAGTGATTACTCATAAGTGTCAGTATGTTCTCAATCCAGAAATTATCACTATACAAATAAAATCTGAAGATACGTATATACATAATCAATGTATGGCTGAGTAGAATTTTGATGACCAGCTAATTAGAATTCATGCAGACATAAATTAAGAAGATGATGAAACACTGCTTAAACTCAAAGACACATCCTAAATTATTCACTCAGGATGTTCATAGAAGACAAAATATGACAGAGAAGCAACATGGAGTCATAAATAGAAGCCCTAATGACAAGCACAACAACAGCTTTAACTTACAGCTGAAGACAGTTATTAACTTCAGAGAGCCCAACTTAGTTGGTCTCAGGGCCTGATACTAGGCAAATTTAAAATTTTCAAATTTTAAATTTGCCTAGTTTTCTGAGGCCACAATGATGTTAATAGGAGGTTTCAATACACATCAAACAGATGGATCTGGTTCCTCAGATCATACAAATCAGACCCAGAATCACCATTCTGAGGTTTTGTAACTTAATGCCATTGAAAATCTTTAGATTCTATTTGGAAAAAACTTAAATGCATGGCTAGGGCCCATTCATGCTTTCCAATGCCTTTCTCAGTTTCTATATTAATTTCAAAAAGAAAAACATTAAAATAAATCAGTTTCATCTGCTGTCATTTTTTTACAAAAGATGAATAGGAAAAAAAGCACCTCAACTTTCTGACTTTCTGACTGAATTTCTGACAATTTTCTCTCCTTTCTGACTTAGCACCTGATGCAGCACTTTTCTTCTTGTAGACTGGGAAGTCTATCTGGAAAGAAAAAAGAAAGATCTAGTGAATAAGATGATATTTAAAATTTAAGACAGCTCACAGCTGCCATATAATTCAAGAATTGTACATATACTTTAAAAGGTTCACAATTTAGATAGGACTTGCTGCTTTATTGAGCAAAATTAAAAGTTCAAAGAAATTAATCCAACCTATGTGTTTTGTTAGGGATAAACCTAGCAATACCTTCCTTTAAGCTCAGATGTACAGCTTCAGAAAGTGTAAATTTTGTTTTCCCCATTCCATCTCCTCCAGGACTGCTCCCTGTCCAGCTACTTTTGATTATTAATCTAGCAATTATGAAAACACAGAAGACTAATATTTGGTATCATATTTTTATTCTTAGAGCCACTTGCGTAGATCAGGTTGGTTGGCTTTTGTTGTACTGCATTTCTGATCAGGCTAACTCTTTAAAAGGACACATAATCTGGTAAAAGACTGAGAGGAAAGAAAAAACAGAATGTAATGGAAACATAACTATAACCACCTCAGCTGTCCTCCCCTAGTATGAAATATGGCTTTTCCCATATATATTTTAATTCTTGTGTTCCTGGAGTACAGTTATGAATGAAGCATCATAAAAAACATGTATCTGGCACTACACTGAAAAAGCACCCATTCTAGTGTGCTCTCCCTGACAATAGCCAGCAAAGGAATCTAGGCAGGTGTAAGAAACACCATACATTTGGAGTGATTTGTCTCCATTACAGACTTCTGGTCATTGGCAGCTTAGTAACCGAACTACAGGCAGCATCTCTACCCTTGTGTTTAATAGCCACTGAAAAACTAATCAGACATCAAATTGCCTAATCCCCTTTTTGATCCCCTATATATTTTCAGACTTCACAACACCTGTGACTAACAGAGCCATAATTTAATTTTGCATTATATGAAAAAGAGTTTTGGATTTTTGTTTTAAATTTACTACCTGCTAATTTAATCATGTCCCTCTAGTACTTGAGCTACAGAAATAATAAATAGCAATATTCTTTATTAACCTTTCCCCCACTTTCAAGATCGTATTGCTGCTCAGTTACCTAGATCTTATGATATTGAATCAATGGATGGTAAAATGGTATATCATATTCATCATCAGTAAATACAGCATGATATCCTTTTCTATCCTTATGAATCCCGATTTATTTAGTCTGTCTTATAAAAGAAACTATTCCACACATCTGGCAATTCCACACACTACCTTCTAGACTCTATCTTTTTTGAATGGTCTGAATGGCATGTGATATTTAAGATACATGTATACTATGGATGTAGTTAAGAAATACGTGTTGATTACTAGCCAGCTACATGGGCACTTTCACATTCTTAGTAAATTCCAGCTAGGTTATCAGTGCTACAGCTGGTCTCAGGAGACTTCCCGTCAATTAAAGACCAGGCACATTTGACCAGCTAAAGGAAAGACTGCATGCCTGACAAGTGATTTGCTCCTATCCACCTCGTGGACAAGTCCTATTGGTTGCATGTTACCATTCCATAAATTTTTGGCTATATCATAGACCCTAGTCCCATTTACTGAAACCAAAGTCTGATATTCAAATGTATACTAGCTTTGCCTATTATCTACCACCTTAGGTCCTACCTTGCTCTATGGACTTCCTAATATTTTGGCTCAGCTCCCAGTTTTTGGAACGATGCTTCTACTGATTATTCTTCTGACCTGTTGTGCTTGATTTCAGTCACCTACTGTAGCCTCTCTGCACACTGCCACCTTTCTCAAGGTACACAGACATGATGTGTTCACCCCTGAATTATTTTTCTTACTATACCCAACCTTCTGTTATATTTTGTGCTTCATTTGGTGCCAAGTTTACAATTTCAGAGAACTAACCACAATGATTCCAAGTTCTTGCCTGTGTGAAAATGCAAAATTTAGAGCACATTTAGGTATACATATATATAGTAATTTCTTCCACCAAACATTTTCATTACTTTTTCAGTCACCAGAATGTTTTGATGAGCAAATAACAAAATAAAATTTTGTTTGAAAAATCATAAGTAGTATGTGCTAGATTAACATTGGCAATGCATTTAGTATATCTACACCACTATTTCAGGAATGATATTTAGCAAATCTACCCACAGAGCCTAAATGCTAGACACTGATTATCATTTTTTAATCAGAGTGCAGGTTTTAAAGGTTGCAAGTTACTGTACTGACTTCTATTGCTGATTTCAATCAGTGAGGTATGGGTTACCCAAATGCTAAAGAAAAAGCATTATTATGAGGCTACTACACTTCAAGCAATTGCTATCGTAATCAGAGGGCCTGGCTCTTCTCACCTTTGTATGTTTTTGGATTATTAGCCACCAATTAAATGTTATCTGCTGAGAGAGCTAAAATGCATGTGCATGCTCAGGAATAGCCTTATTTAACACCTCATTTTATAGGTGTATGGTTCCTTGGTAATTTATTTAAGATGTTCTCTGTTATCACTGAGCAGCCTTGTCTGGTTTGATTTCATACTAGTTTGCTGTATTTTGGTCTTCTGTTTTTCATCTAGGAATTTGAGTCCTAAAATTGCTCCTCCAAGACCTAAAGTGGGAGATAAAATGCCTGATTTTATCACCCCCATTCATTCATTTGGAAACACTGTCTGGGATATAAGGCATATGCTGAAAGGCAGTCTACCTTTTAGTTCATGTGGTCTAATGCCATGCCAATGCCTAATAAAGCCACCTGCTAGGATTTAATATGAAGATGAAACTACACTTCTTGTACAATTGAGATATGACTAGATAATTTTATACAATCTAAGCATTAACACCAGCTGCCTGGGAGAAAACATGAGAAAAGGGTGGACACAGAAGTGCAATAAGCATACTATCTGCATAAGACCTCAAGAGTCAATCTCCAAAAACTAAATTCTGGGCAAAGGTCCAACACTAAAGTAAGCAGCTTTGCACATTTTTATTCATACTATAAATGTATGAATTCAGTGCAAGATAGATGATGATGATGTTTTAAGTTGCTTCAAATGTATCTTAACAATTAACAATACATTTATGAAATGCTATCAAGTCATTATCCAAGGTTTTCTTGGGTCCTCCAGCTGTGCTTATCAGTATGTGATGAGGATTATGAGCTGACAATGAAAATTAATATATTACCATGCATGTGATCAGGATTTGCCAGGAACATATCTCTAAGTATATCTGATATTCATAAAACAAGTATCAAACATCTGTAAAGACTGTTCATTTCAAAATGAACATTTTGATCAGCAGACTGCTACCTACAATGTTTTATACAGCAGAGAGAAAACAATTTTTCACCGTAATTTCTTTTTTAAGTAAGATATATCTTACATTACTTTCTTAAAGTAAGTTGGCCACATAGCTTGAAGTATGTTCCCTTTTAACAATAAGGAAAATCATATCACTAACCCCTGAAAAGTGGGAGATACGAAATACACACAAAGGTTTTCTTTACAATCTGCACTCACCATTATATTTGATACACTGCTATAACAAAGGAGTCAAATGGTTTTATCTTCTCAGAATCTTCCACATAAGACAGTGCAGTGAAGCATGTGTTTGACTCAGAATGAGCTGTTCCCACTTCACACTATGATGAGCCACTTGCCAATTGAGTTCAGCCTCCTGCCTCCCACTTGCAAAAGGAATTTAATTGGCTGTTACAGCAATCTGTACTCTGATAAGGTTGCTGAGAGGGAAAAAAAAAAAAAAAAAAAAAAGCGCCTGTCTCATCTGAAGACCTTACATAGTGTTTTTCTTCCACAGCTCTCTATTTGTGCTGGTCCACCATCTCAGTGTTTAGTCACCCTTTGAACAGCCATTACTTTCTCTAGATTTCCCATTTCTACCTGGATTCTACCTGGAGCCATCCAAAAGTTCACAGTTCATTTCCTTTACTTCTGAAAATATCTTTGAAGTCTCCAGTATGAGGTCCAGCAGGTTGTGTATTCTTTCATCTGAGGCTGCCTCCCCCCCCTTGAATTCAAAATTTTATTCTGCCTGAGACAAGGGTGGCCTGCAATAAAGACCTTGCTTCCACTTCACAAGCCACCTGTTATCTTCTTCACCAACCTGCCAACTTCTCTATTGCTTCCCAGTCCTGCTGCTCCCCAGCCCACTGTGCCATCTGCACAGCAGGAATTCAGAGATAAACTTACAAAGTGTTAGAAGTCTCAGCTTTGTCTCAGAGCCGATGCTGTTTTGTGAGCAGAATAATTATTCTGGAATAAAAGTAACTTTTATTTAAGAATAATGTCTGCATAGAAAGCTACTCCAGAATTGGGGTAGTGAACTAATTTATTTGATTCTAGCTCTACTACTCTGCTTCTGTTTTGTATGGGGATCAAGATCTATTTGTGAAAACTTCAAGTTTTCCTCAGTAAAACAGGATATATGTGGATATTATAATTGCATTAATCTGCAAAAGGAATGAAAGAATTATTCAAAATACCATTTTAAAATCTTTAACATTTCCAGAATATCTGGAACTCGGGAGAAGATGCAATGAAGGACTCTGATGACTCAAAAGACTTAAGACTTCTGTCCTAAAATTAAGAAAGAAAAAAAAAAAAAAAAAAAAAAGGAAAAATCTGCAATTAGAATACAGATCACTGCATCCCAGTAGAAATTGAATGAAAGTGGCATATAAAGCACTGGAAGAGGTGGCTAGGTTGAAACCAGGAACAAAATCCACCTTGTCTATTACAGCTAGTGGCACCATGCCACAGAAACTCATGAACTTAGTCTCGGTCCCAGGGCCCCAAGATGATGGACACTGCTTAAATACAATAAGTAGAGGACAATCACTAAAAGGAAAAAAAAGGAAGAGGCAACAGTAGAATACAGATGGATCAGATGGATGAAGTAACAATGTAACATGAGGAAATAGTGAATTGATTTTGGTTGGCACGATAGAGAATTGTCACAGTACATCAGGAACTTGAACAGACAGCGTGGTAAAGCTTAACCTTAAGTATGAAAAGAAAGTGCATTAAAGAGGTTGTTTTCAACCATCTACAAAGAGTTTCTGCTAAGCCTACAAGGTAGCACAGGAGAAACACCTACAGTTGCATGAAGGAACGTTAAAGCTGGCAACATTCATCAACAGGAAGAATAGAAGCTGATCATTCTATTGTGAATCAGAGATGATAGAGTGGAAATGGATATTTCATATTTTGTTCAATTCAGATTGTTATGGTATTCTGTCTAAACTGGTGAATTTCAACCATAGAAACACTTTGCATGATAAACAGTAGAACTCTTTGTCAGCTTTGAACCCTAATGAAGGAATGGTTAATTCGCAGCTAGCTTTGAAAGAGCTTTAGATTTAAATAACTGTCTCCTATTTTAGGTCAAGTACAAAACCCTAGTAAAGTACAAATTGCAACTAAGCTATCTCAGCTCTTAAAATACCACCACTATATCCTATCTCCTCCTAAAGAAAACAAATCAGTAATTTAAAATAATGATTCTGATAAGGTAACACCTTGTCTATAACCCACTGTTCCTCATGTGCCTTTTGGGGAAAGATTTTATTTAGCATATTTAAAAGTTTAATGAACTACTCTTTTTTTGTTTTGGATAATTTTTCAGAGAATACATGAAAGCCATTCTAAAGAAACAATAAACGCTTGTGTGTAGACATAAGCAGAGCTGTGGGTACTTTCTAAGCACACTCCCTGTTTTATCCAGATTCACATGCTATAGTAATCTCTGTTGTCTTTTCTCATTGAATAAAATAAAATCAGACATAGAAATATTCTGAAAGACTATTTTCTTTCATGTGAAATGTTCATTAACAAAGACGTCTGTGCATGACAAGCTTCTACTCCTTCTTCCCCACTTGTCTGTATTTTGATCCAGGCTAGTTTTTCATCTTGCTAGATTAGACTGTACAGCTGGCTTTTATCAAATAAAAGAGCCATGAGGCAAGGGCATACATAGCAACTCACCTACCAAAAACATGGGTATTGTAAATAGAAAGTTGAACTGATGTCAAAAATAATTGAAAGAACGTGCCTCAGAATCAGTTGTGAAAACAACCTAACTGCATTGGCAATACAGGCCTAAGCTCAGTGCCTCTTTGGAGAAGACAGTTTAGCCACGTTATCTATGCAAATAAAGCACTGTCCTGTCTTTGGATAATGTATTCACTGCAGGCTCACTCATAACATTACATGACTTTTCAAGATTTTAAAGCTTAGTTTTGTTCTGTTGCAAAACAAAATCAAGAGATTCAATGCAGTGGCAAGGGCATTCACTCAGGATGCCAGACTCTCCTATAAAATAGAATGCCCTGAATGAATCAGCACAGCGATTTTCAACTTCAGCTTACCCAAAAAACTCCCTTGCATACTTGGTTTCAATAGTGAGATAGCATTTCTGTTTTTCTCCTTTTCTCCCTACAGCAGATATTCAAGGCCTGAGAAATTCTTCTTGACAAAAATGCCTTTGAAACTCATTTCTGGGGGAAAACACTTCAACTGGAGAGCTTTGGGATTTGCCTAAAGGCAGGGTATATTTCTCTGTAAATTGCTCCTTGCAGAGGAAATGCTAGCTTATCCTTGCTGAAATGAGCATTTTTCAGTAAGTGCTACGCAGTAGTCAGCCTCTGTTTCTAATGCAATTGTTTGTAGTGTAGCAGGAGATAGTCTGATTCCCTAAATTCCCTAAACTCACCCTGGGACACAGTTTCTCAGCAATGTCTGCTCATGACACTTAGTCTTTTCAATCCTTCCATGGAGATACAGCTTTCAGTCTTATCTCATCCTCAACACCAAACAGACAATAATAAGAAACTAACTCTCTACTTAATAGGAATTTTCAGGTGAGGAATTTTCATGCAAGATTAGAAATAACAAAATGAAACTAAATATAAAACACAATTCTAATTTAAATGTAAAGATCAGGTGCCTCTCTAGGCAAAAGGTAACCTCTTGTATCTAGACTCGCCAAGATTTTTCTGTGACTTCAAAGTTGGAAATTTACTGCATACCAGGATACTTCTGAATAGACAAGGACAGCAATTTAAATATGTTGTGTAATTTTCACTCTTCCTCAGAAAGGCTTCCTCAGAAAGGCTTGCTCATCATGAGCTAGCAAGGTTTTCTTCACTAATCATTTCATACGTCTACAGGATTCTTCAGATAACATATTTTTTGTAGCTTAAATGATCTTAACATAAATTCCTAAGACATTGCAATTCTTAGAACACTTTTAAGGCTGAACATTACAATGTTCAAACCAAGTATCATTTTGCATATATTTCATTTAGCTTTTAGTCACTATCAATCTAAGCTTGTACCAGAGAGTAAATGTGACATCCTAGGACATGCCATTCATATTCACAACACACTTAGGAATACAGTAGTTTCATTGAATTACCTCTAGAGACATGCTGACATTGTTTCTGACCCTGGAATCTTGTATCATTTTGACTGATTTACAAAACATTTAACGAACCATTACCAAAACAGGTGTCCCAAAACACATGCTATTCAATAAGTCTATCCCAAGATGTAAACTAAATTTTAAACTCCTTGTCTTTGCTGATGAATATCATCCAAGAGATCTTTAGAAAAACAAACTTCCTGGTACAATTTTCAAACCATTTGCAGTTAACTTCTGAGAGGCAACTTGTAAAATACAGAGTTTTAGATGGAGAACAAGTAATCCCCAAAATACAACCATAACATGTTTAATAAGCATAGAAACACATGCTACCCTGTGGGATGTTACATTCTGTATCACTGTGGTCACTCAGCATTCAAGCAAGGTGAATTCTGACTGGATAAAGTATGAAGAAATAGCTGTTCAGATAATCAGGGCAATGAAGAGTGTCTCAGATGAGAGGAAGCAAGAAATAGTTTGACCTTTTTCAGCCCAGAGAGACAAAGGCTGACAGTGGACACAATTGATTCAGGCAGGAGTGGGCGTGACAAGTCAAGGATGGAGAAGAGCTATAACTCTAAATGACAATGTTGGCACAATATAGTCAGTACAAACTCAACATACTTAAATTTAGGGTGAAAACTGGAAGTTTCTATCCACCAAACGAGACTAAAGCTGCTTTCCCATGGAATTAGTGGGAGCAAAAATAAATGAATAAACCAACCAGGTGAAAAACTGCTCAATATTTATGTAAATGGCACAGTTGCCTTCAGCAATAAGATAGATCCTGGTTTTATCAGATGAAAATGTCTTTCTCAGTCCAAAGTCACTCTCTTTGTGAATTAACTGAGTCTTAGGACAATTTACAAACAGGACTGAATTACAGTAAAGAAATAAAAGTTTATGTTTATACAAAGCCTGGGTTCATAGTGTTTTCCAAAGAATACAGAGAACAATTATCCAACTGTATTTATCTGAGGATGACTCATTTAGAAGAAACTATAATTATGCTTTTAGTGAAAACATCTCTCAGTTGGAGAGGTGCTAGAATTTCAACTGCCAAGATCCAGAATCCTGTCTGACTCCATTTAAGCTATCAAGCCTTCTCTCTTCTTTTACATTATTCTTTAATTATAGATAATTTCCTTTTCAGAACAAACAACAACAACAAATAAAAAAGAAACTTTTCACTCTTGTTTCTTTCAAGACTTTTAGTCTTCACAAGTGTTTTTTGAGAGCCTAAAATGAATTTACAATTGTTTTAAATAGTAGGATCTATTCACTTCTAAGGCCAAATAGAAAATTTTAAGTAGGGAAGTTACCTCCAACAGCTGCTTGCTGCCTTAAATTACATTTAACATTTAATCTTTGTACCTCAAAACCATACGGAATGTGGTGGTATTTAAGTTTTGTTAAACGTTTCTATTTCTTTCTGGACTTTACTTCATTTGTAATAATAATAATAAAAAAATGAGAATCAGTTATCTTTGAAGTGTTTGATATTTTTAAATAAATATTTGTTAAAACTACTGCAGAGGTTTCGTAATTTTAGCTATCCAGTTACTGCATAACATTTCATGAAGTTGGGTCAAATAATTTCAGCTTTATTAGGCCACTGGGAGAAAAGCTTATGCTTCTGGATAGTACATTGTAAAAATCAAGTTGGCAAAATGAGATAGCCATGCCGTGATGGTACAAATTCTGAAAATTAAATACCAAACTATCAGTCCCCCTTAAAGAAAGGGTACATCTACACAACTGATTTCAGTTTTGACATTAGCAGTTGTTATCTAATACTTGGTGACTATTAGCATTTAAAAGTCTACGTACTCCAGAAGTTTACACTACTGTTTGTTTTAGTTTAACAGGGATCTGGTCTCTGTAGCAGGGCCTGTATAACACATGTAATACTCATGTACATTCTATAAATGACAGAATTCACAGAGATTCCACTCATGATATTGAAGTACACTGACAGTGAAACACCACTTCGTCCGTAGTAGTTGGTAGAGTGTTGTACATATAATAATCGAATGTAAGACAAGAATTTTTGGGGTCCAAAATCTTGGCTACTGCTCCAACTATAAAATTTGTTCTCCCGTTTTGATAATAACACCACCTATATTATAGACCTCTTATGCAGAATGCAAAGTTTATTGCTAGAATGTTTCTCATTTTTAATGTACATAGAGTTGATCTCACTGATACTTGGTCAGTTTACATACCTTCTTACCCTTCACTCTTATGCATTTTTGCCTCATTTGGTCATGCTCCTTCTCAGGATTTGGTACAATCACACCTCTCCAGTCCTGGTATACTTTGCCTGTTGGGAAGATTAGTATGGTCTTGAAAAATATGTCATTTATCCAAATTGCTTCACATTATTTATTTACTTTCAATCTACTGAATTGGTAGTTTCAGCTTGCGGAACTGGAATTGACATTTGTTTCCTATAGGGTCAGACAGGAGTTTCCGTAAAACACTTCAAATATTTTCAGGCTCATTGCCTGGATCAATGACAACAAAACTAGCAAAATCTCAAAGTCTGCATCTCATTGCATAGCTTTTAATACCGTCCCTTCGGTATTTTCAAAGGAAAAATAAAGTCTCATTTTATCCAGATATCCTTCATAGAAAGGTGTAAAACAGCTCTGTATTCTTCCATTCACTTTACCATGGAAAGAATCAGCATGGCTTCCTGTTCCTCTCTTGAAGCATGTTGGCTGCAAGACATTCTGTTCTTTCATTTCCTGAAAATTACTTGACTTGGATGTCTCTTTTCAGATCAGGGCTGAAACCATGAACAAGGCTGCTTTTTGAAGGTATTTTAAAGAGCCAGGCTGATTTCCCATCTAACTACAACTAAACCACAGCTGGTATAATACGTGTGCCTTGTGCCAAGTCACAACCTAGTTCTCACTATCATGTGTTAATATCTTTAAAATGTTCTGAATGGTAAAGTACACACATACTACTTTACTTTCCTATCAGTTTCAACTACACTGAATTCCTGGTTCCAATACAACTTCATTTAATGAAAAAGGAATGCATAAGTTAAAATCACAAATTGCCAGCTTACATTGTAAAATATTTAGTTATAAAGTTCTCAAAAATAATTAAAAATAAATCTTACCTCTTTGTACAAATGAACAACTGTAAGCAGTTCTTCCATGTGATTATGTGTAATAGTGACCGTTATGTTCTGTATAACATATCACAAATTTTAAAGGTAACGTGCTTAAATATCACAATAATTTTGAAACTGACAGGGTGAAAGAATTTTCTGTTCTACATTTTGAAAACATAAAACCTTGACTTCAATGAGTGCACTGCAACACCAGGGAGATCAAAAAAGCTTTATATCTCTTGCAGTAAAGGAGACCATTTCAGAAAATCTGAAACAAATTTAGTTAGTGAGTGAAATAAAAATCTCAATTATGCCAGCTTTGCTTGTTACCTACATAACAACAGAGCTGCCATATTGGAAGGGATCAACAGCCTTTCTTGTCTACAATTCATTCTCCAAAAATAGCACACTCCATCACTTCTGAGAAAACTTTAACTGTTAACAGGTACAGAGACATTTGCAATCAGCAGAGGCCCCCTTCTCTCTAGATTGGCCGAGCTCTTTAGTCGTGAAGTTTAATGTCACTAGCATATTTTAGTGTTATCATCCATAATGACTCTAGTTATTCTTGCTGGTTTACATTTTGCTATCAATAATTTCATGAAGAAACAAGTTCAAAAAGTAATTGCAGTTTTGTGAAAAGTATGTGTTTGTTTTTTTTTTTTTGTTGTTGCATTTTTGTTTGTTTGTTTGTTTTTTAGTTTTTAGTTTTAAAAATCCCTTTCATTTTTCTGTTAGGAAGAAGGGAGCACACAAAGATGGAACTTCCTGATCCGTCTTTTCTTTACTACTCAGCATGCCTGAGACAGATCTACCTGTTTAACTGTCCCCTTTTGGTAGTACATTCCCCTTTTCTGAAGCTATTTCCAGATCAATTTTGTCCAGGCCTTGGACTGTAAAAGGACAATTCTGTTTCTGCCACACATTTTTTTTTTTTTTGGAATGCTGTGTCCAGGACATTTATATTAGCCCTTAACAAAACAATATGCTTACTTCTATTCTACTGGTCACAATATTTACATATAATAGCACATGAGAGCACAAGAGCTTGGCCCTCTATCCTAAACCAACAGAAATTGTGTAATTCTGTTATGGATTTACTGATGAAAAAAGATCAAAAGCACTAGGGAATGACAACTACATCAAAAAATAGGTGTGATACAATGGTTAAGACTCAGGTCATGCTCATCTGTTTTCCTGTCAGATACTTACTATAACCTCTTCCACCAACCTAGGAGCTGCCATCACTGCCAGCCAGATCCAGCCTTCTCTCTAACATTGCTTGAATTTCTGCACGGAACTGAAGCTAGTCTCCCAGCTACTCTCAGGAAAGATGAGTTTTCTAACTACGAAGTTATTTAGGACAGAGTGACCTCTTAGACTACATTCTAAAAAACACCACAAATTCATCTCTGTATTTGATAGAGCAGGCACAGCATAATGTAAGAAAACATGCAGCTAAATGATGTTAAGCCTCTATTTGCAAGAGAGAACAGGATTTAAAGATACATCTCTTTCTTTTCAACCTTTTATATATTTGGTTAAGCAGGTTTTTGTTCAATGGGATGGATTTTATGGCTTCTAACTCTCTGTATGAATGCCTAATTCAGGGAATTCACTGCAAAATTCAGTTATTTGAGCTACTTCTAGAAACCCTGATCAGTTAGGAAATACAACAGAACATTGTCTATTGCCTCTGCTTGCATTAATCCCTTGTCTACCAAATGAAGTCATACATGAATAATGCCTGATATACATGTAGCTAGGTAAGAAAGATAAAGGAGTTGTGTAACGACTGCAGGCAAATATCCTAATACAGAGACATTCAGAGACTGGAACAGGCTGGAGCTCTCTGCTAGATTGTTTTTTTCCCACCGTTCAGCACCATTCACTTTGTAATTCCAGGGGCCAGTAAGTCATAATTCAGTTTAAATAAGAAATAAATTCCTGTTCTTTATACCTTCTCAGGTTTTCTGATGCTGAGTTTTCTCAGGTCCCAAATTAATATCACTTCTGAATTTGATCATGGCCTGTTTTGATCTCAGGCACTTTTATCTAGTCCCTTCCCATAAAGAACATTTCAGGAAGGTCAGACAAGCACTTCTAACCTCCACAGACCTTTTTTAAAGTCAAAGATTGTCACAGGAATCCTGTGAAAGATATATCTATGTGATCCAATAAACAGATGAGAAAAAAAGAAGTGTTTAAATGAAGCTTCTCCCAAAAGCACTTTTTTCCCAGTTACTACATGTATTTCAATCCAAAAATAAGTGCATTGGAAAGGAAGAAGAGTCAGTTAATGAAAACTCACAGCTAGCTAATGCCTTTTTAAATGGGACACTCAGATTTAATCTATAGTGCTTACAAGCAATTATTAGCTAGATGATAGAATTAGCAGTTCATAGTTTAAGTATATGTATAATTTAAATGGGGGGCAGGGGGCACGAGTTTAATGAATTAGTGCTGGAGAATTAATTCAAAGTATTTCAATTTTATCCATGAATTCAGTCATAGAATGCATGAGACTGAAGTTTATATCCACTTTGACATCTTTTACACTGACAGGATAGTACAAATAAGATTGGGGCTCATCAGAGCACCAAATACATGATTGTAATCCCTGCCTAGAATACAATGTTCATTATATTTAAATAAGTTCTTACAATAAAAAATAAGTATTTTCTATATGTCTCTGGTGACTGACATCATAACAGAATTAGGATATTGTAATGCAATTTTATATAAATGTATTTGTATTTATATAAATTGTTTTATAAATATTTATGCATACATAAAGTGATTACATACACATATAAGAATCAGTAAATACAACTTCATTGCAGCAAAAAAGTCACTAGATATTCCAGAATGAATGTAAAGTTAAGCTATCTTTTAAATTCTCAGGTAACATAAGAGTACATGTATTCAAGATCACATTAGAAATTTGTGATATTTAAACATGCATTGTATTAACAGATTTCTTTGTTGCAAATTATTTTTGTTTTCAAAACTTAATCTGAACTTAATCTTGCCAATTAACTTTTTTCCTTGACACATAATTTGTTTGAGGCAAACTGTAAAAGTAAACAAAATCTCAGATGTCTACTTGGATTTTGAGCAATCTAAGAACTCAACTTCCAGGCAGACCAATAGAACAATCAAAACCTGATAGGATTTTAGGATTTCCTAAAATGTTCAGGGCTCAGACTTCATTTTTACATGTCTAAACATTTTATTTATTTATTTATTTATTTATTTATTTGTTTGTTTGTTTATATTTACATGCCTAAACAAAAAGTCTGACTTCTTAGCCTCCAGTTTTGGTCTATTTTTTGAATACATTACATTTCCTTGCCTTTTTTTTGATGTGGAGAATACAACTTCACAGAATGGGAACTACCTGTGCCCCCACGTAGGTACAGCAGCTACCATAATTAAAAAATTACTGCTTCTTTCACCTCCAAGCTCTTTTACCTCCAAGTCTCAACCTTTGCCACTTCCAGTTTCAACTTTCAACCTATGCAAACTCCTTTGGATTGCTGCATTTTTATCTTATGGTTATCTGTGTAACCTGGATTTAACTAATGCACCATGACAGGGCTCATCTTCATTTTCTCTTGTGGATTTATACTTAATATACTTCATACTTCAGAGCTTGTTAAGAGTATTCAAATGCAAGAATTTTCTAATGCAAATGTTTTTATAGTCTAGATGGTACAGAGGTTCTTAGTACATTTCTTATATTCCTACTGATTCATAGCTTTCATTTCATTTTTACTGATTGACGTGTTGTTGTAGACAAAGCACTAGTAACACTGAAAACTATTTTCTTTCTGCTAACTTCTTTTCCTCAACAAAAGCAGATCTGTTACTCTTTCTAATATCACAGCTACTACTGGTAACACAATTTCAGTGCCAAGTGGCCAATGTAAGATGTAATGATTCACAGTATAGAAATAGCTATTGAATTTGCAGTAATTGTACTTTTCATGTCAGGTTCAGCAGCAAGGGCAAGTATGTAGAAAAAAAACAAGCACTTCTTCCCACAGAAGAAGTATTGGTCCCTGCCAGACACAGGGTATTTGCTAGAATTCATCAGTTGCATACCACAGCCAGGTTTTATAAACCTGGTTATTCAAATTAAGAATATATTAATTTCTTTTCATTAAAGTATCATGAAACATCCTTCTATATTC